GATTGAGGTGTTTTGTTGTTGGATGTAATAATGAACATAGCAGTCGTCATTTACTCCCGACATCGGAGCCGCTGAAGACGCAGTGGATTACGTTTGTTTTTGAAGGGAATGCGCCCCCGATCTACATAAATGCGTCTATGTTCGCGCGAATCATTGGTGATCCAGCTTCATCTACAGAAGAAGTGAGTGTAAGGTTTTTTTAACGAATCTTTGCAAATCGCCTTTCCTAATAATGTGCTAATTGGCAAGTTTAACGATGAATGCAGCTAAAGTAAACAGTCTCAGAGAGCTGCTCGGAAGAGAGGGGCGGAGTCAGCAGAGCTCATTAACATTTAAAGGAAAATGCTACAAAAACGGCTTGATCTGAAAAGAGCTGTTTTTGACAGGGTAAAAAAGGTGTTTTTTACACTACCATTGAGAAATTTTAACCAAACTATGTTACAGACTTTTCATTAAGACCCTAAAGAATCATATCAACTTGTGGAAAATGGGCATCCTTTGACCCCTTTAAAATCATAACAAAAAATAGTTTAATAGCTGTGATACTGTTTTTGAAATCAAATCTTTGCATAGCTACGACAGGAAACACTGGCATCTAACAATACACAGTAAATCTTAAAAAATAAATATACATAAACCCAATTAGGAAATAAAACAGTCATTGAATAAGCATGTGTCCTATCCTGTGTCCACATTGATGTCTCATATTTTAGAGCAGTCAATACAATTTGGGAAAGAAATCAAATAAATTTGTGATCATCATGGGTTAGGTCACTGGGACGGGACAGTGCTGTTTGTTGTAACGGAGCAGTAAATCCTTGTTCATGTGCTCATCACTCATTCTGTTTCGAGATGAGGTCAAAAAATTGCCTCCATGGCTAAAAAGATGCTCCACTGGAGGACAATGTGGTGTTGTACTTGATAACAAGCCTCTTAACTCTGGGAAATGCCTTAAGAGACCTCAGGTTGTTATCTGAATCGGACTTTATCACGAGTTGTGCTGTCAGATGATAATTTGGCATTATTTTACAGAAAATATTCATATGAAACCTCCTTTGTATTCATTAAAATTTTCATAAGTGACTGTAATTTTATTACAGATTTTTTTCTCAGTAACCGTGACGGATTACGGTTACATTTATTTTGCATAATGCCATTACATGTAACTAGTTACTCCCCAACACTGGTTACCATTTACATGTACAAATGCTGAAAGGGACAGTTCATCCAAAAATTTAAATACTATCATCCTTATTCACCCTTGTGCCACTCCAAACCTGTATGTATTTTTTTTCTTTACTTCTGCAGAACAAAAAAGAAGGTATTTTTGGAATTTTCAACTATCCCTTTAAATATCAGGTTGTTTTTCACCAATTGATGCAATAATCAGAAAGCCAGTAGTTTTTTGCTCACACCTTTTTAAGCATAAAAGTGAGTGTGTGGCCATTGCATTTAATTCACCCAACAAACTATTCTTCTTTTGTATTTCTTTCCATCAAGACAGTCCATGTCCACAACACAGAAGTGCTGGACACTCTTTTGCATCCATATCCATGTTTATTGTATTTGAATGGAAAACAGTATGGGAACAGTCTTCAAAATTCAAAACAGTCATACAAATTTGGAATGGAGCTATTAATTTAACATAGCACTTGAACACTTTTCAAGGCTAAATGTATTCTCTTACACAGGTCTCTCTCTCTCTCTCTCTCTTTCAGGACGTTCCAGCCCTTCTATCCTTTGCTGCACATCTCTCAGTGTTCTGGTGTTCAGCTCTGGGCTCTCTGGGCCATACAGTTTGTCTGCCGTCAAAACGGTAAGAAAAAAGCCAGAGAGACGTGCTGCTTGAGATACACAGCAAATCCCTGTTATATTTGCTGTTGCTTTTCACAGATCTAAGTAAAAAAAGTAAGTAATGATAATGGTGTAATGTAGTTCGCAGTGTAATTAATCACATTCTGTTGTTGTAGCCCCTCAGTACTGTAATGTGCTTCAGAGTGAAGGAGGAACAGACATACTGAGGGTCCTGAGCTCACATCCAGACACCCACAGTGATGTAAAGAATCTGACCGAAAACATCCTGAAGATCCTGGAGCGAAATGTTCATCCCACAAGCTCAGGTACAAAATGTGCTAACATTATCAGCGTTTCATAAAGCAGGTTAAATAAATTACCACACTGCTACGATCATTTCTTGTTAATGTTGCTCTGTGCTACTTATCAGATTGATAATGAATCGCTTAAAGGTGCTGTATGTCATTTTTTGACTTTACTAAAGCATAAAAATACCATAATATGTTTGCACGTATGTAGGAAACATGCTAGGTTTACATACTTGTTCCCTGAAAAACAAAGCTACACGCAGTTATTCTGCTTTGAAATGTGAGTTCTGTGTCAGAATGTCTGTTTTTTTTGGTCTGTGTGGTTCCGCCCACTGCCAATTTAACCAATAGTTTTTCAACACCCCGGCTTGCCAGTTGGCGAAAAAAATAACGTATTGCAGCCATGGAACTGGGTCAGAGATCGCAGATTCTACCCGACCTAAAAGCCTTGGCATCCATCTAAAAAGCTCAGAGACATAATAAAACGCGGATAAATCAACTCATCAACTTTCAGTTTAAGGCTTGTCGCCATCCATTGTCAGTTGTGCTGGTTCCTGTTGCATGTCCGTAATCTGGCAACCCGCGTGAGTGTTGAGTATGAGAAGAATGGGCAGGAGAAACAACGCTCTCCAGTATTCTGAATTTAGACTGCAGTACCCGTTTCAACCGGGTTACATACTGCACCCTTAATTGATTAATTGTGTAGATACCAGTGACTACAGTGTGCTGTGTATGTTCAAAACGACAAAAGTGTTGGATAATGTGTCACTTTAGCATTTTAATGTATAATCTTCCATACTGGACTGTCAAAATCATGCTAAACCGTGTTGTGTGTGCTGTCAGGGAGAATGTTCTAGTGCTGGACGTGTTCTTTGAGGCTCTGAACTATGAAACCATTGAGCAAAGGAAAGCCTATGAGGTGGCTGGTCTGTTGGGTAAGTAAAAACTATATAGCCTACAGTATGTTATACAGTAAATATTATTGTAATTTAAAGGGGTCATATGATGCGATTTCAAGTTTTCTTTTCTCTTTGGCGTGTTACAAGCTGTTCGTGAATAGATAAGATCCCTAAAGTTGTAAAGACTAAAGTCTCAAACCCAAAGAGATATTCTTTATAAAAGTTAAGACTGGTCCACGCCCTCCTAAAACGCCTCATTTAAACACGCCCCCACATGTCTACGTCACGATGTGGGAAGATTTGCATAACGCCGCCCAAATGTTCACGCAAAGAAAGAAGGCATAACTTTATTGTTGCTGCCACCGCCGCCGCCATGTTGTGAAGACGCTGTGTGTTTCGTTGTTCACGATGAATGCGGCTAAAGTAAACAGTCCCTCAGAGAGCAGCTCGGAAGAGAGGGGCGGGGTCAGCAGAGCTCATTAACATTTAAAGGAAAATGCTACAAAAACGGCTTGATCTGAAAAGAGCTGTTTTTGACAGGGTAAAAAAGGTGTTTTTTACACTACCATTGAGAAATTTTAACCAAACTATGTTACAGACTTTTCATTAAGACCCTAAAGAATCATATCAACTTGTGGAAAATGGGCATCCTTTGACCCCTTTAAAATCATAACAAAAAATAGTTTAATAGCTGTGATACTGTTTTTGAAATCAAATCTTTGCATAGCTACGACAGGAAACACTGGCATCTAACAATACACAGTAAATCTTAAAAAATAAATATACATAAACCCAATTAGGAAATAAAACAGTCATTGAATAAGCATGTGTCCTATCCTGTGTCCACATTGATGTCTCATATTTTAGAGCAGTCAATACAATTTGGGAAAGAAATCAAATAAATTTGTGATCATCATGGGTTAGGTCACTGGGACGGGACAGTGCTGTTTGTTGTAACGGAGCAGTAAATCCTTGTTCATGTGCTCATCACTCATTCTGTTTCGAGATGAGGTCAAAAAATTGCCTCCATGGCTAAAAAGATGCTCCACTGGAGGACAATGTGGTGTTGTACTTGATAACAAGCCTCTTAACTCTGGGAAATGCCTTAAGAGACCTCAGGTTGTTATCTGAATCGGACTTTATCACGAGTTGTGCTGTCAGATGATAATTTGGCATTATTTTACAGAAAATATTCATATGAAACCTCCTTTGTATTCATTAAAATTTTCATAAGTGACTGTAATTTTATTACAGATTTTTTTCTCAGTAACCGTGACGGATTACGGTTACATTTATTTTGCATAATGCCATTACATGTAACTAGTTACTCCCCAACACTGGTTACCATTTACATGTACAAATGCTGAAAGGGACAGTTCATCCAAAAATTTAAATACTATCATCCTTATTCACCCTTGTGCCACTCCAAACCTGTATGTATTTTTTTTCTTTACTTCTGCAGAACAAAAAAGAAGGTATTTTTGGAATTTTCAACTATCCCTTTAAATATCAGGTTGTTTTTCACCAATTGATGCAATAATCAGAAAGCCAGTAGTTTTTTGCTCACACCTTTTTAAGCATAAAAGTGAGTGTGTGGCCATTGCATTTAATTCACCCAACAAACTATTCTTCTTTTGTATTTCTTTCCATCAAGACAGTCCATGTCCACAACACAGAAGTGCTGGACACTCTTTTGCATCCATATCCATGTTTATTGTATTTGAATGGAAAACAGTATGGGAACAGTCTTCAAAATTCAAAACAGTTTGGAATGGATGGAATGGAGCTATTAATTTAACATAGCACTTGAACACTTTTCAAGGCTAAATGTATTCTGTCTCTCTCTTCTCTCTCTCTCTCTCTCTCTTTCAGGACGTTCCAGCCCTTCTATCCTTTGCTGCACATCTCTCAGTGTTCTGGTGTTCAGCTCTGGGCTCTCTGGGCCATACAGTTTGTCTGCCGTCAAAACGGTAAGAAAAAAAGCCAGAGAGACGTGCTGCTTGAGATACACAGCAAATCCCTGTTATATTTGCTGTTGCTTTTCACAGATCTAAGTAAAAAAAGTAAGTAATGATAATGGTGTAATGTAGTTCGCAGTGTAATTAATCACATTCTGTTGTTGTAGCCCCTCAGTACTGTAATGTGCTTCAGAGTGAAGGAGGAACAGACATACTGAGGGTCCTGAGCTCACATCCAGACACCCACAGTGATGTAAAGAATCTGACCGAAAACATCCTGAAGATCCTGGAGCGAAATGTTCATCCCACAAGCTCAGGTACAAAATGTGCTAACATTATCAGCGTTTCATAAAGCAGGTTAAATAAATTACCACACTGCTACGATCATTTCTTGTTAATGTTGCTCTGTGCTACTTATCAGATTGATAATGAATCGCTTAAAGGTGCTGTATGTCATTTTTTGACTTTACTAAAGCATAAAAATACCATAATATGTTTGCACGTATTTAGAAAACATGCTAGGTTTACATACTTGTTCCCTGAAAAACAAAGCTACACGCAGTTAGAAATGTGAGTTCTGTGTCAGAATGTCTGTTTTTTTTGGTCTGTGTGGTTCCGCCCACTGCCAATTTAACCAATAGTATTTCAACACCCTGGGTTGCCTTTTAGTGGAAAACACAACATATTGCAGCCATGGAAGCCAGCAAACTACCTGACCTAAAAAGCCTCGGCATCCATCAATAAAAGCTCTATGAGCAGAGGCATATTAAAACACGGATAAATCAACTCATCAACTTACGGTGTAACGCTCGTCGCCTTCCATCGTCAGTTGCACTCATTTCTGTTGCACGTCCTCAATCTGGCAACCCGTGTGAGGATCGAGCCTGAGGAGGACGGGGAGGGTCAAACAACGCTCTCCAATATTTTGAATTTGGATTGCATTCCCCATTTCAACCGCTTGCTCTCAATATTACATACTGCACCTTTAAGCAATAGCTCTTAAATATCTGTATTTTCAGGATTTCAGAACACTGATTTTCTTCTTGTTTGGTCTATGCTTTTTCTAGTGGAGGATTTTCATTGACGTCACAGAAAAAAATATGGATTCGTAAAGGGATGTGCCATTTCAGGGAGACATTTCAGAACATTTTAGATTCAACAAAAGAGCACAAGCACTTTGCTTGGTCATTAAAACATTTATTTTGCTTAAATTAAGAGAAATAATGTTTTTTTTTTCAGTTTGTTATTAAAGTGTGTAATTTGTGAAAAAGCGATTGTTTTCAGTTACACTTTATTTCGATAGTCCACTTTAGACATTCTATTAACTATAAGTAACTTTGTAACTACATGTCAACTAATTCTCATTAATTTGCAACTAGATGTCTACTAACTCTCAGAGTAGACTGTTAGGGTAGGTTTAGGGTTAGTAGAATAAGTTGACAAAGAAAGTGTTAGAAGATATTAAGCAGAGAGTCTACTAATACTCTACTAACTGCTAGTTGACATGTAGTTGCAAAGTTACTTACTGTTAATAGAATGTCTAAAGTGGACTATCGAAATAAAGTGTTACCTTGTTTTCAAATAGATTCCACAAACACTCTTGTTATTGGTCAGACAAACACATAGTCCTGCCCCAAACTCACCCCATTGATGGAGCCAGTCTTGCTGTGTAGGGTTGGCCAGGATGCTCAAACAGAGCAATTGAAAAGAGTTTCAACTTCTTCAATACTCAAAAAAATCATGTTTCTGGATGAAGAACTACTACTCTGGAAGAGAGATCCACCAATCAGACAAATAGCTGTTACCGTGGAAACAGGAATCATGACAAGACAACTTCAGAGGCTGCATACTTCGAAGGCTGCATTAGAGGACCAAGGCAACAAAAGCTGTCCCATTTCGAAGTTTCCTTCAAATGCGGCCCCTTTTTTAAAAATGCCGGATTACACTTTTAAATGCAAGTATTGGGTTTCAACTTAAGCCTGGAATACACTACACGATTTTTGCCCCGATTTTCCCCACGATTTACAGTCTGGAGAAGTTGAGGCTAGTTGCCGAAAGTCAGAGCCAGTCTGCATATTTGAGTTGACAGATTTCATAGAAAATCGCGTAGTGTATGATATGTTTAATATTTTAACAGAATATGTTTAATATTTTAAGCTGATTTTAGAGCACATGTTGTTTTCATTTGTCACACATCTCCTAGCAACAGTGCACACGTCTCTGCGTGAGTTTGCTGTGATCGGAACAACTTGAAAGTCTGGTAGTGTGTGATCCTCAGTCGTTTAGTGTATGATGACCAGTTTTTCATTTGTGACTGTTCACAAAGTCGGTAAATGTATGATGCCTAGCGTTTTAAAATCTCTTCAGATTTTAAAAGTCATGTAGTGTATTCCAGCCTTAAGTCTAGTTCTAAGAAAAGAAGTATGTCATGCTTCTTAGCGTCCGTTTCCATGGTGACTCCTGAAATTGGCAATGCATTGATGATTTCTTTATGTACTCACTGTGTGCATTGTTAGTCTCTGGGTTACCAAGAGAAGGTTGATTGAACTAACTCTTCCAGTAAGCAAGGTTTGGCTTAATCAACTGAGAGTTCAGCGTATATGTAGCCGTAAGTTAATCTTACTTTCTTGAATGCCCCATAGTACTTAGTGTCTCAAAATGTCAATTTTTTCCTTGTATTTCAAACATCCATCCATCCATCCAAGAACTGGGACTAGTCATTTTTCATAAGAATAGAAGGTGAAGTTCCAAAATAGATGACAGTTGCTGTTGCCTCAAGAGAGCTTGAGAAATACAGTGACAGCTTTTTTGTACCTTTTTTTGCTGAGCGTGTAGTTTACGAAGTTAAATATTAGTATTTTTCTCACACATACCTATCGTTTTGCATCAGAAGACATTGATTCAGCATTTGGGGTTGTATGGATTACAGTCATGTTCGCTTTGTGTGGTTTTTGAAGCTTCAGCTTTTGAGGGACCCATCCACTTGTATTATATGAACTCAGAGATGAATTATTTTTCCAAAAATATTCAAGAAGAAAAGAAAGTAATACATCTGGGATGGCATGAGGGTGAGTAAATGATGAGAGTATCCCATTAAGACCAAATTACTTTTATGCCCATCTACTTTTGATCTTGTATTTCAACAGCCTGTCTCCATTCACTTCTATTGAATGGAAGAGAGCAGCTTGGAAATATGGCTGTGTGACAACATGAGGATGAGTAAATAATTAGAGAACATTCATTTGAGTGAACTATGCCTTTCAATTTTTAATCAGTGCATTGAATTTACATGATCAGAAGCACTAATGTGTTTTTACACCCCAGTAAAGACATCTTACCCGGAATGTTTTGATGCGTATCAACAAACAACCAATAATCCACCAAACCCTTTGAATCCACACTGTGCTTGTTGCATCTCGGTGTCCTATCAGACAAAATAGATGCACAAAAGTACCTCCTTAATCTAATTTCAGATGGACTTTAATGATCTATGGCAAAATAGAGCAAAATGGTGATATCTAAGCAAATATTTAATTACTACAATACAAAATTCTTGCTAGAAATGAAATCAAACAATGGAAAAACATTTACACACAAACTGACCACCAACCGCAACTTCCAGACGTCATTTTATTTTTTAACTCATCGGTTACAGAATCAAACGCACAGGATTGTGGGATATCATAGGCAGCAAAGGATACATCTATGCTGTCTTCAGAAATCAATCAGATGAACGTCAATATAGACAGAATGTGACACGATCACTGGATTCAGACGGGCCTTGTTGCCTTCCTTCCTCCTTATGCTGCCCGCGGACGCAGCCTGTGTCAGCTGGCTCTTGATCTTGATTTTTTTACCTCTGTCACTCAGTCAAAATGATTGTCACTTCACTTTCTGATGCAGTTCCCTCTCAGTACTCCTTATAGGATTGGACTCAGGTTTATGTTCAAGTATTTCGCAATCCCCCTTACCCACTTTGTCCTGGTTTAAATTCTTCCTCGGGCACGACAGCATTTGGTCTGTCCTTCCTCCATTTGACACAGCGCTGGCAGAGCACTATCACCATGCCAGCTGCCCATGCCAGTACCGTACCTACTCCAAAGATGACAAAACCTATAGCCACAAAGAAGAGGTAGTCCTGGCGAGCCAGTCCTGGATGGCACTGTCTTCTCAGCCAAAGGCCCAACTCTGAGAGACGCTGCCCCTGTAAGTATGAAGGACCCTCACACACTGTCTGTCCCTCTTCTAGTCCCATAAAACACAAGAAAAAAGACTGCATTTGTATTGCTGGTACATGTGTAGAAACTTTATAAACATGACAGTCTTATAACCACAGACATAAAATTGCACAAATATTTTACGATTTTTACAAGTACTAAATTTAATTTACAGAGATGCATACTCCCCCTTTTAAATAGAAAGTTGAGAAATTCTTTGAAATTTCCAATTACACATGAACCACACCTATTTACATACATACATATATATATATATATACAGGTGCATCTCAATAAATTAGAATGTCGTGGAAAAGTTCATTTATTTCAGTAATTCAACTCAAATTGTGAAACTCGTGTATTAAATAAATTAAATGCACACAGACTGAAGGTTTGGCAAAAGGAGAGTGGGACTGTGGGCGGTGCTCGGGGTGGTGACTGAAGGCGGTGACTGTGTCGTTCTGACGTCAACTTTTTACGGAAGTCACAACGGTTCGTGAAAAATCACAGCTACTTCATGCAGGCAGTGTGCATTTTACTGTGGACTGACTGTTTTGAAACTTATATGGTAGTTACATAGCACCTAGACCTCAGTTATCGTGAAAAAAGCCAGGAAATTTCAGTTTTGACAATATGGGACCTTTAACTCATGATTGCTCAAAAACAGTCCAAATGTATGAAACCTACATATTTATTTCTAGAGATATGGAGAAATGGCTAAATATATTTTACAAAAGTTTTTGCCACTAATAGATCTTCATAGATAATTTTACAAAAAGTATTTTTCAAACCTAATGGTACTCCATACATGGGTCCAAAATGGCCCGAATACGAAATTTTAATGTCTCTAAAAAAATGTTTTTGTTATATCTCTTAAAAATAATTGTAAAAAACATAGTTTTTTTTGTGCATTTTTTTCTCTTCCAGGTCAAATCAGACCTGAATGCATTACGAGAGTTAATTCTGTCAACCAGTCAATTCCCTGTACTATACTCTAAGACCTAATGTCATAAAATGCTTGCTTTAAGGTTAGCTTCACGAGTAGCAATGAAAATGAGCATTGCTGATTTAGCAGTGCCCTTTGGCATGCTTTCATACACTGATATTATGTTACCTTACACACTGACACACTGAATAATTCACAGCCTCGGCTGTCCTCTGCTCCGGCTCAGTCATTTAGTCTTTGTACTTATGCTTCTGTAAGGAGACACGTCTACTGCTGCTCCAGTTCTCTCTTTATTTTCACTTAAGTATTCTTTAAATAGAAATTGTCAGTATCATTATAAATAGTGATGTCCTCCTTAACAAACACCATTAATAAATGTGTTTTGCATGAGGAGTTTAATGTAGTTCCTTACAGTAACCTCACCATACGCCACTGTCTCCATCCCTCCAGTCACTTTCTCCAGTGACTAAATACCCACAACTCATCTGACTTGCAGTGCTTGCCTCTTATCATTTTGTCATCCAATACCTTTTGTACTTATGTTATGTTTTTTATCCTCACTCTTCGAAAAAGACTTCAAAGCTATTCACTTTTATTAAAAAAGAATATGCAAATAGTTGATATGTTTATGTAACGAGCACTTTAAAATCACTTGTACACTGACAAATACTTAATATTGAGCAAATGTGCATTGACAGCTGTAGAGATGTATAATAATAGTACATATGCTGTTGTAACATATAAGATGTCATGTTGTCATATTCCAAGTTATTCCTACTCCAACAGTATTATCATGCAAATAATATTTACTATGCATTATATATATGTATACACATACATACTCCAATAATATTAATAGCTCTCAAATTATTATATATCTGTAATCCAATATTCACAAAAAGTCCATTTTTGTTTAAAAAGAGGTGTTTTTTAAATGTGCAGCAATTTATGGAAAATGAAAGGGTTTAATGCAAGCAAAACCATTTTAAATATTCACTGTAATTCATGAGCGATTCACAGCTGTGAATGTTACAGCGCGGCTCCGGGTCCAAACAAACCCCTACAAAGCCAGTGAAAGGTAAAAAAAAAAATAGGCCAGCACATATGGGACTTCAGCAGCTTAGAGCAGAGGCTGAGCTCTTATTTCCGTTTGATCTTTCATTGTCGTGTGAATAGTTGCATGTTAATTTGTAGAGCAAAATAATTAGCTGCACTCGTGGGAATACATCTGGGACAATTAAAAGCAGGAGATGTCTGGATTATTCCTCAGCACTCTGCGTGTTTGTTGTATGTGTCTGTGTGTGAGTGTTTAGTGTGGCTTTGTGCACTAAAAGGCCCTCAGCAGCCTAAATATAACCAGTTATAATGGGACTCTATGAACATTCCTGAAAGATGAACTCCGTTATGAGCTTAAACAATCATCTGCAGCTATATACAGTATACAATGCATGCATGTATGTATTTTTGTGCATGTTTGTATCTATCTATATATCTATCTCTTCTCCACATACTTTTGAATCATTCAGATGGCCTGTACAAATCCAATGGCAGCTGTTAGTTTATTTTTTTCCTTTAAGCCCTCAGTGACTGAACAGAACTGGCTAATGCATTCATTGTTAATAGAGGGCTATATTGTGTCCAATAGCAAGCAAGACTTAATTACTAACATTAACAAATACAATGAATAACAGATTAGCACATCATTAGGTATATTCAAATACTTATGTATGTCAAGAAGCTTACATTTATATTTTCTAGTGGTCAACTGATATGGGTTTTTCAATGGCTGAAGCCAATACAGGATTTCTGCAGGTTTTATGAAGGTAAATTTAAGACTTTTTAGGACCAAGTATGAGGAACATTTCAGGAATAAATTGAATGGAACACAATATGGTCTCTAAATGTAAATGTCTTGTATTCACAAGGCTTCAAAGTTTGAAAATACAACTTACAGTATTACTTTTTCATTTATTTGCACAATCAATCAATAAATAAGAATGAATGAATGAATGAAATCAATCAGTCAATCAATCGCTTGATCAGTCAGTCTTATGGCCAGTCTTAATTGTGTTCAATTCGTATCTGAAGTAAATATATCTTGATTTAAGGATGTTTAGATATTGGTACTGGAGAACAAGACAATAATACTGAGGAACATGTTTTTTTTTGTTTTGTTTTTGCAGTGAATGCAACAATTTAATGCCACGACTTTATGAATTTAAAGCTTTCTGCTCTGATTGAAGACTTTTTAGAATGTAATATTTGGAAGAGCGAATTAAGACTTTTTAATACCAGCAGCATCCCCTCAATTATTGAACAAGCACTTCTTTCTTTCTTTTTCTTTTTTGGTTTGTTTGAATGTGGAAGACTGGGGTATTTTAACAGGGGGTGATTTTTAACATCGATATTTTTAGGTATGAACTAATGACCACTGTTTTCTTGAGGTGACAGTATAAATATCTGCATAAAATATAATGCAGGAAAATATAGTTTCATGTCTGGTTCAAGCTGATTCTGATTATGAGAGTTATGACACACACACACACACACACAATGCACAAAACCACTGAGTAACAGATGTTAAAATAAAAGTGTTTCAGCATTGCCCAGCCTCCCTTGTTAAGCTTTATATAATGTTAGTAACAATATAACAGCCGAATCAAGAGTAAGGTTATTAAATAAAGTTATTTTAAAATGTTTACCCAATATAAAAACAACAACCCCTAGACCCCAAATACAGCCTACCTTGAAACTTAAAGGTGTCCGTGTGCATCCATAAGCAGAGCTCCTCCGCGTCGCAGGCGCACAGCCACGGGTTCCCGCTGAGCCCGAGAGCCCGGAGCCCGGCTAGAGCCACGAGGGAGCTCACGTTGAGTCTGCTCAGGTTGTTCCTGCTGATGTCCAGCACCTGAAGAGCACTGGCATGAGAGAAAGCCTGAGGGTGAAACTCTGACAACCTGCGGTTATCCGTCAGTCTCAGCATCACCAGGCTCTCCAGCGCGCTGAACGTCTGCTCCTCGATCTTACAGAAGGAGTTGAAGGACAGGTCCAGATACGCCAGCTTTCTCAGGTTCCCAAATGTGGATGGAGATATGTGCGCGAGGGAGTTATTGCTGCAGTCCAGATACGTGAGGTCGGACAGGTAATTGAGCTCGAACGCGGGTAACTCAGAGATGCGGTTGTTGGACAGGATGAGCTGGCGCGTGGTCAGCGGGAGTCCCGTTGGGAATCTGCGGAGATCTTGTTCAGCGCACTGGACAACGTGCTGGTCATCACACACACAGCGCTCCGGGCAGCCCGGAGGGATCGAGGACACCACATGCACCAAAAGCACCAGCAGGACACATGCTGTGGCGACGAGCTTCATGAAGTCTTCACGGGTTATGGACACGCTGAGAGCCTCCACAGAGAAAACAAGACTCTCTGATGTCCCCTCTGTGCGTGTGTGTGTGTGAGTGCTGCGCTTCTTTCCTTCGTCGCTATACAGTCGGAGAGCTGCTGAGTCAAAATGTAATTCTATGTGATGGTGCAGAATACTATTAAAAAAGTTTATCACGCAAATGTCAAGTAGCCTAAACGAAAGTAATAATTTTATTTATGTGCACTATTTGTTTTATAAAAATTTTAAAAATGTACATTTAAAAAAAATGGAAGCTGTGGTTGCCAGAACTTCAGTGTAAAAAACAGGGTTGCAACGTTTTGGGATTTACGGAATGAACTTAAATTTACAGTAAAAGCTGTAGGCCTATTTCATCAAACTACAGTACTTAAAGGCACAATATGTAATTTTCGCCGCTAGAGCTAGTTAAAATTGCTTATTTCTCTGGATTTAAACATTCTTCGAAACATTTGGGATAATGTAAGTACACAAGTCAGCAAAATATATAACACCGTTCTAGTGGTTTTTGGATATTTTAATACAAAAATCTTACATATTGTGCCTTTAAGTAGGGCCTACTAATATAATATACTGACAACCACCAGAAAACACGGGTAGTAATGAGAAAACCTCATGATGAATCAAAGCTCATGCATCACAAGCTAAAGTAAACATAAACGTATAGAAGGTGTACAGTGTCATTAACACAAATACTAAGCACCATCATGGCAATGCACATGATAATGTAATAAACATTCATAGAACAACAAATGATTTAACATAAAACCCTAATGTACAGGACTGATAAGAAAAAAAAAACTAAAAAGAAACATTTAATTCAATGAACCATCGAAGGTGAAGTGCCACAGGGATTGTGTGAGTGTTCATTCATGGTTTTTCACAGTAAATTATAAGATGACGTTCTTTTTTAATTATAAAAACTGTAAATTTTACAGTATGTCCCGGTTACATACTGGTTTACGTACCCGGTTTACAGTTTTCATGGGAACTTACCTAAACAACTAACAGACATTTTTACAGTCTTTTACCTTTAACAATTTTATTTATTTATTTATTTTACATTGCATCACGTAAGAAGTAGCCTATAAATCATTTTTTCCCCCAAACACGTTTAAAGGTAAAAAAATAAATTTAATGAATGTTATCATGTTATTATGGTTTGTTTATACCACCTCACAACCAGTGGTCGCATTGCACCCCCAAAAAAAAAAGAAATAAGAAAAGTCTTAAAATGGGCTTCATTTTTGTTGTGTATTAACGAGGCAAACCACCAGCAAATGCCATCTAGCACGCTTTACTCAGGTAAATACAATACATACGTCACACACAACAACACATCACATGACTTAAATACTGGCTTCTATAAGGTCGGGAACCAAAGAATGCAAGACATAAATCAAGTAATTACAAATACACATCATCCCAATTAGGCCTGTCACGATAACAACTTTTTGTTGTGCGATATATTGCCCCAGAAATAATTGCGATAAGCGATATTATTGTCATTTTAAAGACCATTTTATGCCACTGAATATATAATCATAATGTAACAGCATAATAATGCAAGAAGGCCTACACACTTCCAAATGACAACAAACTTTTAATTTTTAAGAATATTTAGATCATGGAAATTAAGTATCAAAATATTAGATACCTTAAAAAACCTGAATAAATAGTAAATAAACATTTTCTAACAAAAAGTGCAAAGTAACAAGTAGAAAAAAAGAAAAATGCACAAAGAACTTGGATGGAGATTCTTTCATCTATAGATTTTTTCCCTGACTTCTTTTCTCTGTAAATTAATGTTAGATCATGGAAATTAAGTATCAAAATATTAGATACCTTAAAAAACCTGAATAAATAGTAAATAAACATTTTCTAACAAAAAGTGCAAAGTAACAAGTAGAAAAAAAGAAAAATGCACAAAGATTCTTTCATCTATAGATTTTTTCCCTGACTTCTTTTCTCTGTAAATGAAGGCTGCACACTATTGCTGAAAAACACAATCTCTACTCAGCAGTCAGATGTCCATATGCACAAAGACACAGATCCCTAAACAAGGCCATATCTGCAGATGAAACTTTGTTTGTAGAAGCATTTTTAAAATTTGAACTAGCACCTCATGACTTCACCACGTTATGTTCGAGAAGCTGCAAAAGACACCGGCGCAAGTGGAATTTACAAAACATGGTGACATTAATTTTTAAGTAAATATAATGGGCGATATATTGCGTCACCAAAAATTATTGAGGTCATGTACATATATTGCGCGATATGTCGATATATTGATTATTGCGACAGGCCTAATCCCAATAAAACCACTTCACCTCCCCCATTAAAGTTAGCACCACATATCACCACATGAATTCATTTTTATTCAGTCTCTGAAATGTTGTGGTAATTTAATAGTCTGTCTAGAACGCCGCAGACCCGCTGGGCTTGATTCAGGCGGTTCAGACTCACACAGCTGTTGATGTTCCAGCTAGCCCCGAATCTTGGCTGCTAGCTGGTTACAGTCATCTCTTTTTCAGGCTGTGACATTTGAGTCTCTGATGATCTCAGTTGATCATCTTAAGTCTCTGAGGAAGAATGGCGTGGTCTCAGTTGATCACCATGCCCCCACCGCACCGCACCGTCTTGTAGACGCTGTAAAACTTGGCAGAGGGTTACCAGATGTTCTTGCTCAACTTTACCCATGATCAACAAATCACATATATTGCGCGATATGTCGATATATTGATTATTGCGACAGGCCTAATCCCAATAAAACCACTTCACCTCCCCCATTAAAGTTAGCACCACATATCACCACATGAATTCATTTTTATTCAGTCTCTGAAATGTTGTGGTAATTTAATAGTCCGTCTAGAACGCCGCAGACCCGCTGGGCTTGATTCAGGCGGTTCAGACGCACACAGCTTTTGATGTTCCAGCTAGCCCCGAATCTTGGCTGCTAGCTGGTTACAGTCATCTCTTTTTCAGGCTGTGACATTTGAGTCTCTGATGAGCTGCATGATCTCAGTTGATCATCATAAGTCTCTGAGGAAGAATGGCGTGGTCTCAGTTGATCACCATGCCCCCACCGCACCGTCTTGTAGACGCTGTAAAACTTGGCAGAGGGTTACCAGATGTTCTTGCTCAACTTTACCCATGATCAACAAATCATCCAAATACACAACAACTTTCTGGTCTTTCATCAAATTTTCCTTAATCCGTTGGAAAATTAAATGGGCTGAACTAGTGCCAAATGCTAGACAATTATACACAGAGTCCCTTGGGTGTATTAATTGTTGTATATTTCTATATCATCCAACAAGACCTGCTGATATGCCTGAGCTAAACTGATCTTAGAGAACACCTTCCCTCCATTTAGAGTGGCTAAGGCTTCTTTAATTCGTGTTAAAGGATACACTTCAGTGTTGGCAGCTTGATTAACAGTGACCTTTTTAATCACAGGGACAACAGGAGCAGCCCACTCACTCTACGTTACTGGAGATATAATGTTTGCTTTCTCCAATCGATCAATTTTGCATGCTGTGTGTGTGTTTTGGGGTTTTATATGTAAAGTTTACAGAAGAAAGTTTGAAAAATTGTCTAAGCAATTTTACAGTGCATGCTCTCCGAGTGAGAAAGAATGAGCTGATGTGTTTTTGGTGGATGTGAGATTAACTATGTGGCCAAGTTTCATGTTGGTAATCGCACCTGCTGCAGTCAGTCAACAACACTCCCAATGTCCTCCTTCTGTCGACTTCCATTGCTGCAAACTCACCTGCGTTTTCAGCAGAGGTTCTTCATTCTCCTCGGTGTCGCTTGCATTAGTCTTGCTGACATCTCAAAGCCCTAAAATAATGAGATGCATCCATTTACAATGAATAGGCCTGCAGTACCAGGTCAACAATTTCAGGATGAATGTGCAACATGAAATCTGGTGGCTGAAAAGTAATGCACTATCCCTTCCCTTGCCTGCTTTAACACTAAACTGCAATAAACAATGTTTGGTGTCCTAATATTGTGTCATCGAGTTGTTATCAAAGAGGCTGTACTCAATATACAAATGTGATTTTTGTATCATTTTGCCTTCATTTTGCAAATTAAAAGTCTTGGTGAAAAAGAAAAATCATTGTGAGGGACAGGCCAAAAACCTTACCTTTAATCATCATAAAAATATTTAATTGACTTTAATTTGATGTAGCCTAATATTGTTGAAAGAATAGGCTACATAGTATTGTTATGTTTTTAAATCACAAATGTATTTGTTGTTATATTAATTCTATGTTCGATTATTTATTAGGGACGCAAAAGGCATCGATTTCTTCTTCTTCTTCTTCTTTGGTGTTTATTGGCGGTTGGCAAGGCATCGATTTCGTGGAATGAACCACTTATTATACTCGAGTGAACTACATTCATAGAATATTACAGTTGTAAAACTACATCCCCCATATGGCGCGAAAGCTGTAATGTCCCGGATATTGAGAGCGCCGGAAGAGAAGCAGGTGTCTTCCTTAGCCATCTTGTAGTTGTCCACCGTGAGCCGTTCGCGCGAAGCCTCGAAGAATCGGAGGAGAATCCCGTTGTTGGGGCGCCATCATGCCGGGGCATCTGCAAGAAGGCTTCGGCTGCGTCGTTACCAATCGGTTCGACCAGTTATTGGATGACGAATCCGACCCGTTCGAGATATTAAAGGCGGCCGAAAACAAGAAGAAAGAAGCGGCCGCGTCGGGCGGCTCGAAGACGGCAGCTCAAGCCGCTAAACAGCCGAAGAAAGAGTCCCAGAAAGACAGAAAAAATACAGTGCAGGACAAGAAAGAAGACACCCAGGCCCCCGTGCCAATTAAGAAAGAGGGTATGTAGAAATTACAGTCCAAAATATCGGCTGTGTCCCAAAAAATAGCGAGCCTAGACAGCATATTTGGACATTATAGACACATTATAACGCGCCAAAACGGCTCTCAAACGCGCCAACGTTGAGTTCTTGAACGCTCGTATGGTGCCTAAAATGCTGTCTAGGTAGGAAGCTCAGTAGGTTATGAGACAGGGCTGACTGAGTGCTCG